TGTACACACACACACACACACACACACACACACACAATGGAATATTACTCAGCCATTAAAAAGAATGAAATAATGCCATTTGCAGCAACACGGATGGACGTACAGATGTGTCATACTGAGTGACACAAGTCAGACAGACAAAGAGAAATATCGTATGATATCGCTTATATGTGGAATATAAAAAAACGCTACAAAAGGCAGAAATAGACTTAGAGAACGAACTTATGGTTACCAAGGGGGGGTGGGGGGAGGGATAGTTAGGGAGTTTGGGACTGACAGATACATGCTGCTATATTTAAAATGGATAACCAACAAGGACCTACTGTGTAGCACAGGGAACTCTGCTCAATACCCTGTAACAACCTAATTGAGAAAAGAATTTGGAAAAGAATAGATACATGTATACGTATAACTGAATCACTCTGTTGTACATCTGAAACTAACGCAACATTGTTCGTCAACTATACTCCGATGTAAAATAAGAAGTTAGGGCTTCCCTGGTGGCGCAGTGGTTGAGAGTCCACCTGCCGATGCAGGGGACTCGGGTTCGTGCCCCGGTCCGGGAAGATCCCACGTGCCGCGGAGCGGCTGGGCCCGTGAGCCGTGGCCACTGAGCCTGCGCGTCTGGAGGCTGTGCTCCGCAACGGGAGAGGCCACAACAGTGAGAGGCCCGCGTACCGCAAAAAAAACCAACCAAACAAACAAAGTAAGTTAAAAAAAATAAAAATAAAATTACCTGTACTCGCATGTTTTTTAGCAGAATTACTTCCTAAAGAAAACCACTTCTTGATCTTGGCCCTTCCTATCCCCGGTCATGACACTCCAGTTTCCCTAATAATGCACCATGATGTGCCATAAAAAACATGGAAATCTGAGCATGTGGTGCTTATGATATTAAACGGTGAAGTGGGACCTGTGATGTCACAGCCTATCAACATTTGAAGGTATTCATACGTGATATCCTCTTAGGGAAAAGTTGCTTCCACATTTTAAGCCAGAAAGTCACTGGAACACCTGTTTAGAAAGGCATCAAAACTACATGGTTTCTTAGTTCCTCAGTTCCTACATACATTAGGAAGGATGTACAAATTGAACCGTATGTGTACCGATCCTCAAAACAACCAATAAAATACCAATTAGGGAAGAAAACTGCTTTCCTCATGGTTCACAAAAAAACGTGCCAAAAACCTAGAAAAATGATAACTACCCCCACATGCAAAAAATCCTAAGAAACCAAAACCCACCTCATACATTCGGATTCAGATGAGCACGTCAGTATTCAGTCCCACGCGTAATAACACGAGGGTCTGCTCTGAAGATTCTAACACACGCCTGCCACTCATGGCCAAAGCGAAGGCTGGATCACATGCCACCCCAAGACAAAGAAAGGCAGGTGTGGCCCCGACAAGGCGACAGAGCCAGGCTGAGGGGCTGAGCAGGTCAATGAGATGTGTGAAGACCCAGAGGCAGTGGAGGCTGCGGTGAGCAACAAGTCCAAACAGACACAGACAAGAAGCTGGCTGCTCATGGAGAGGTTTTAAGAAACAGAGAGGGGAGGTCAGCAGCGGCAGCTCAGACCCCAGGCTGGCTGCAAAAGAGAACCCCGGGAGGAGCGTTCGTTCGGAGCCAAGGGGCCACGGCCTCCCCCGGGGAGGATAAAGCCCAAGGTATGTGCCTCTTCTCCAGGTGGGGCAAAGGTCTAGGGGCCTCAGGACCCTGCAGAGTCCAGAGCCTCAGCACAGCGCAGCACTCTAGAGAACACGGGCCAACCCGTGCAAGGGACAGTTTCTGGAGAGCA